TAAATAAGTATTATTCTTTGATCTTATTCTACTGATTAGAAATACATACTTGTCGACGAGTCGGGAAAATAAAAAGTGTCGACGAGTCGGGACAATTAAAAAGTTGTCGACGAATCGGGACGATACCTCTAAAAGGGCTGTCTACCGCTGCAGTCATTTTACGCCGCAAAAACCGAAAATACATCGGTTATTCGTTTCGTTTTTGTATCGTTTTCTACTCTGCGAATGAAAAGGAGGTGTTTTCTGTGTTCATTTGTCAAACAATTACTCATATGTCTTCTAACCTGAAACATCGCAGTGTATTTCAAAGGATAAAGTGCATCAAGTTCCATATCGATATGTATATAATATTTCAATAAAGATAGACCAGGTGCGTAAAAGAATTTTTTTCTGCGAAAGACCACGTTTTTTATAAAATTTTGAAGTGCTAATTTGAACGGCAAAACGACTACTTGATATTGTGGAAATCAGCACTAATTGAGGAGCAAGTAATCTATTTCCTATCTAAGACTTGAAAGTGCAACTTCTGGATTTTATGAATTTAAGACTAGAAAAAAAAAGCCAAAAAAATCCACTATTAGAAAAGTTATTTGAAGGTAAGACAGAGAATACCATTTTCAATTTCCTTAGAAACGCTTTCAGCGACGGTACTCAGTAGAGCAGTTTTGTGAGACTTTTTATAAATGGAATTTACAAAATCTTGTGACTTGAATTCCTTAAAAAACCGTTAAATCTGGTTGGTTAGGAAGAAGTCCGTATGCCGGCAAAACCTGATATTTTTCTTTCAAGAATGAGAGATATCCGAGCTCCACCGACTCCGGAATTCCGCTAAATCCACGAGAATTCTGTTTGTATCAAGGGAACTGAGAATATCTCCTATACATTCAGTTTTTCACGAGAATTTCCATTCATTCCCACAGGAATTTTACGTCCCTCTATGAAACTTTTACTCTAGTACACGAGAACTTTAGTCATATAAGACCGAACGTTCATCGCCACGCGAATTTTCTTCGTTATCACAGGAATTTTACCTGTCTCCAAGAGAAGTTTACTGCGCGTCACGAATTTTTGTTTGAAAGTGCTCAAACGATGGAATTTTCTCCAACCTAACGGGCAGCACAGAGGAATAAATGCATCAACTAACCACGACAACGAGAGAAATGTTGTTTTCTAACCCACACTCGTAACCCACCTTCCCCTCACTCAGAATGCATCAAAATGTCTTGGTGTCCTAATGTCGTATAGTGTACATGTTGAAGTAGGTATACTGTGGAAGTGTCAGGATAAACTTCATAAATGGGAAAAGTTTGGTATTGCGTCTCATTTCCTTACTTACCTTAGTCTTTTTTAGCTTAACATGTTTTACCGTGCCGTACCGTAGAAGGTTCGCGACGATCCCTCACGTGTCATGAAGTAAAATTTTCCTGGAGCAAAAAATAAAGTTGTCTTTACTTCAAACTAAAATTCTCGTGTAATGAAGTAAAATTCCGGAATTGAGAGATTTTGTACTTAGTTTGTTTTAAGTGAATTGCTTATGCTTTTTTTCTAGCGGAAAGTTCTCGTGCGAAAACTTAACTTCCGGAATTGATGAAACTCGAACAGTGCTGCGTGCGCATAATAGCTTTATTTAAAAGCCGACAAAAGGAAGACTACACTCTCTTCCACCCTTAACTACCAGATACAAACTTGTGCCAATACCATAATTTAATATAATTATATTTGTTATTGAAAGCGCAAGAAAGCACATTGAACATGAATTAGACCGTAATGGTTTTTGTAATAATGTTATACAATTCATTAGATTATCAAAATTACTGCAAGTTTACTCTTAGACAATATCATTTGTTTTTTTTTTAGATCAACTATTGAAAGGAAGCCATTTTTTATTATATATTCAAGCATAGGAATGGGGAATGGAATAAAAATAATGATGAACAAAAGGTGAGAGTATCTGTATATTTAGGAGACAAAAAGAGAAGAAAGAATTCAGTGGAACGCAATTTTAACTTATTAATTCTACGGCAAAAAACAGAGAACTCAAAGTAAAGTGCATACAATTCAAACTTGGAGTAAAATTGTTTTTTTTCCTTTTTTACATAGAGTGATAGAGCTTGAGCTGCTGATTACGAAAAACTACTTTTAACGTTAGCAAATGCTTTTCTTATACCAAAAAATGCGAAAAACTTGAAAGGAATCGTTTTTTGCAAAAATCACAACCTTTTCTGTTTTCTTCTTCTTGCAAGGCTCTGAAAATAATTTTTTCAGATTCAGCATTAAAAGCTGAGTATAGACAAGACGTTAAATTGACTTTAACCCCAAAAGCCTTTTGATGGTGGCGCCTCGAATTACACCTATTGCAATGGGTATAGGTTGTTTTTGTAAACCTATCTAGTTTTTCTGCTCAAGCGAGGAAGTCAAATAGTTTATCTCGTCCGATTCATCATACCATCAGTCACAAAAGTATGTATCGCTTTTTTTTCTTTTCTTTGTTGAGAAAAATCATTTTTACTAAATTACAGTCAAAAAAGTCGAAATGCTGCCATAATATTAATTTTCTCTAGCAGAACTCAACTTCTATGGAATAAAAATACCATATTCGGAATCAGCATCAAAAACTGAGTCGAACGATGCGTATTTCTATCCTATCACGTTACTTTAATTTTTTTCAAATTTTTTCATTTTTAGCTGAAAATTTCAATCATTTCTCAACGTAGTCTATACTCAGTTTTCAATGTTTAATCTGAAAAAATTATTTTCAGAGGCTTGCAAGAAGAAGAAAGCAGAAAAACTTGCATGTTTTGAAAAAGTTGTGATTTCTGCAAAAAAACTACTCCTTTCAAGTTTTTCACATTTTTTAGTATGAGAAATTTACTAACGCTAAAAGGTAGTTTTTCGTAATCAGCAGCTCAAGCTCTATCGATCTATGTAAAAAAGGAAAAAAACCATTTTACTTGAAGTTTGAATTGTCTGCACCTTACAACAAAAAAACATAATTTACCTTTTGCGAAACAGAATGTGTACCTTTTGTTTATTAATGAGTTAAAGACTTTTTTCCGAAGGAAGAAAACTTGCTAAAGATGAATTTTGAACTGACTAGATTACAAAAATACAAACTGCCTCCAAGATCAAAATCATGGATTCTGCGCAGGCACTCATTTCTGACCATATGTAAGATCTTCAATCATTGTACTGTTTCAAACACCTTTCTTTATCTTAAAAACACAAATTCCATATTATTCACATAGAGAAACTTAAAAAAAAACAACACAGAAATGAATGAGCTAAACTGGTATCGATTTACAATAATCAATATCACTATTTCCAGTAGGAGTAACCACTATTTCTGTTTTTGTAATCGATAATGATTTTGATGGCTTCTTCAAAAATGGTATGATAAATAACATTATACCACTTAGTGCAATAACAAGACCAATAATAATATATGGCACTAAATACGTACCAATTTTTTCACGTAAGAAACCTGTTAGAAGTGTAAAAACAAAATTATGTGGATCTAGCGATAGAAGATGAGAATATTCTCTCACTACTTACCAACAAATGGTAAACCAATGGCGATAGCAATACCTTGTACGAGTAAAACGAAACCAAAGGCATTTGACATTTTGTCTAAACCAGCTAAATCAACTAAGACAGTTGGTATCAGACTTATGTAGCCACCTGAAAAGAAAGAGGAGAATGGCGTAAAATTAGGAGGACGAGCAGTTTTGAATAAAGTTGAATACAAGAAGTAGAGAACTACTACGAAACAGATTTGAACTAAATCTTTATTTAATGATTCTGCTTGATGATGGTCTGCCGAAAGCTTGCAAGAATCATTAAATAAAGATTTAGTTCAGATCTTTTTTGTAGGAGTTGTCTGCTTCTTGTATTCAAATGAACGAAGTAACTTACAATAGAGTTACAGGAAGTTATGGTACGTACCAGTAAAAAAGCCGAATGTGGCACCATAGATCAGATGTAATACAAGATTACTTTTACTAACTAATGGTTCTAATACGGTAGCTACACCCACAATAATTAATGTAAAATTGTACAATGTTAAACGATTCACCTTCAAAATGGAGATGAACAACGAAGGGATGATCAACGAATATTAAGATTTGAGTTGGTAGGGGATTATAGCGTTTTAGTTTCATACGAAGACTTAGTAAAAATTTAACGCAAACCCTCTTTTACAAAAAATCCGTACCATAAGGTCCCGGATCCGAAACCTGTTGCAAAAGTAGACAAGTTTCTCTCCTTGATACTTTACCGTTTTTTGATTCACCCTGAACCTCCGCAGACTGCTAAGATATAGCATGAAAATAATGTTGAATCTTAAACAAACTGAAAAAGTGGTATCGTCTCGGCATGTGATAAACATCTACAAACATGTATAACTCTTATTTATAACAATAGCTTACATTGTTTCGATCACCGAGAAAACCAATAATAATTCGTCCTGCAATGGAACCAATACCAATTGTCATTGTTATATATTCTGCGTGAGATTTTTTGATACCATCATGCATAGCTAAATCCTCGGTAAATGCATATGGTACATTAAAACCAAAATTTGTTAAAAAATTTGATATTAAAAATAGAACGAATGGTATATTTGAAAGTAATGATAAGTCAATTAATTTATTTTTCGTATCTTTGTTGCCGGCCTTCTTTTCACCTCTAAGAAGAAAACACCTCTAAGAGAAAACAGCGTAGAGTTATTCAAACGCGAGATTGTCAGGCTCAGGGTGAACAGATGCAGAAAGGATTTAAAATAGAAAGAAGAGTATTGATTTTTCACTGGTATGTAAGAGTTCTGCAAAAAGGTGCGCGAGACAGACGAATAGTTTGATGGTGAAGAGTTTTGAGATACGCTCTTTTGATCAGTTTTCAACAAAATCTGTCGTTGCATCGTCTTTAAATAGCATGGTATTTCGAATACAGTGAAAAAAATTTTCTATCTGCAGCCAAAACGAACGAGATACTTCTGATACTAACCCATTATTTAAAACCTGTAGTGCTGTCTCTTCTTCTTCTACATATCCATCCATATTCTTCGACTTTGATTTCTTTCTTAACTCACTTGGTTCCCATGGTAATGGCTTCATTAGCAGACCAAATAGAATACAACTAAAAATTATTGCCGATTCCACTAACAGACCTTTTCGGTAACCATTTAAATGTTTTAGAAACCATGGCATTAATTTCGGGAAAATCATTGTCCCACAGCCAGCACCACTCACAGCAAAACCCATAGCCAATGAACGTTTACGATCAAAATAATTTGTTACGCTGACAATAGCTGGTAGATAGAGTAAACCAAAACCCAGACCTAAAATGTTGTGACGTGTGGGAAAAGATGGATGATATAGTGGGGAATTTAATATTGAAAAGGATGTGGGTGAAAATGCGATGTTAGCAACATAAGAAAGAACTTCTAAGTGTAGGTCCAAAAACACATTTCTGTTTTCCTTTTAGCGAAGTAAATAGTATCCATTGTCAGAGAAAAAAACGTAAAACGCCGACCTACACTGTTCAGAGAACATTCTAACAGAATTCGACTCACTCATGTATACAAAAAAGTGTCACTCAATGAGCCGATTTTGACGGTCAACGCTTGAAGGACTAAAGAAACGTCTGTTCGCTTATTCTCACAGTTTGATACTGAGATATATTTTAAACACGAACGTTCTTATTTCTGTTTCAGGTTACCTCCAATCAGACCAATTCCTAACCAATACCAATAAATATGTTCATACCAATAACACATAAAAAATCCTAAGCTACCAACACACGCACCAGTAATTGTCACCAAGCGACACCCGTATCGTGTCGTCAATATTGTTGCAATTGGACCTGTGTATAAAACACGAAAAATGTCGAATCAGTTCTAAATCACTTGAAATCTTTGTACTATACTTACCGGATAACATATAAATTGCGGGTAAGATAGAAAATATTGCACTAATTACACTATGTTTTGCGTCTAAATTTGCAGATTCTAACATTTTCTCCAAATAAACACTACCCATTGAATACGTAATGCCATCGATAACAACATGTATCATAAATGAACAAAATACGATGACATAACCCCAACCACCATCGGGTGCTGTAGTTGTTGGTTCCGTCATGTCTTCTTTTTGGAATGGATTATGATTATGGTAAGTTTTTGTCTTCACATCTTTCGGGTACGTAATTTATTATATTACGTGGCAGAAATAGTTTACATTTTGACGTTGATACTATGTTCTATTTCGTTTTTTCTCTTTTGCTTTCTTTTACTATTACTTCTCTTCCATTCTGCATTTTAGAAATATGCGGAATGAAACCACGTAAAACACATATTTTATTTCATCATATTTCTGTAACTAACTATACTGGAGAAAGAAACAAAATATTCTGCAATAGAATGATGCAACTGTGAAATTATAAGACAAAATATTAGAAATATCGTCTATTTTTGTCTTACAGTATTTCCGCTATATCGATATATATGTACAATGAATGTCTTATATTACGTGAAACAAAAGCATTCAAGCATCAAATTAACTGATATTTCGGAAGAAATATTCTTACGAAATAATCGAGTAAAGCTATTGTTAGAATAAGTACATTTGAAATCATAATAAGTACATTGGATCAATGGGTGAAAATACAGATTTATAGTACGGTCTCATGAAAACACATTTTAATGCGTTATTAAACAACAGAGGTGGTGGCGAGTGGTGAGAGTGAGACACTCGAGAACATTCTAGCAGGCAAACGACACAAAATTGAGGTCTTTAGTTCTTACTAGCAAAATCAGCATTAGACAGACTTGTAGTTTATGACTGGCTACAAAAGGCATTATTATAATGTTAATATTTGTGAACTAAAAACGACAATCCTGCCGTTAAGCATGACGAACGATAGATTTCGAATGTTTATTTTCGTACAAAAAGAGTAAAAGAGTTCGAATTTTTCGAAAACTTTTTTAAAAAAACGAACGTAGCAACCCAGGACCGGTTTCGACCTTGCTCAAGGGTCTCTTCAGCTGGGTTATGGTGTGAAATATTGTGGAGAAAATGAATCCACGTACCTACGTGTCATTGTTAGTCAAATGATAACAACTTATCTTGTTTAAATAAGAAGTTATATTCTTCTCACTGAAGGAGAGAATAAAGCACATTTCTCTATGGATAAAAAGAACTTGTGTTCTTCTGTCCGAAAAAGGCGAAAATAAAGCACATGTCTGTGTGTATATCACCTCTTCAATAAGAAGGAACTTATTATTCCTTCTATCGAAAACGGAGAAAACAAACGGCTTGTTAGCCTGTTTTTCTCGGAAAAAACGCACATTCTGCTTGAACAAGAATCTTGCACTCAACCGACAAGACTAAAAGGAGAAAGAACACTTCTGAGTATTCCCGGCGCCGCAAGGTGGGGTCAACTAAAGACCTCAATTTTGTGTCGTTTGCCTGCTAGAATGTTCTCGAGTGTCTCACTCTCACCACTCACCACCACCTCTGTTGTTCAGGTTTTTGCACTCTTCTAGCGAGATTCTTCGGTGGAAGAACGTCGACCGACTAAAAGACCGGACGAGTGTAACACCAGTTCGATTCGAAAAACAAGATTTCGACTGGAACCCCACCTTACGGCGCCGGGAATACTCAGAAGTGTTC